TCCCTATTCTACCAATATAAAAACCTCAGTTCAGTTTTTCTTCTACCAACCGTCGTATTACTCTCAATAAAAACCATAAAAATCACTTCGGGGATTCGTTCTCCTGTAAATTTTTGGGAACCCGTGCCAGAATTCAACTTAACGATATGTCAGCCTTTAATAAGCTCAAAGATATACTACTTCAGGGTGGCCAGCCCTTCTATTCGTTCACCCCCAACGAGGAAAAAACACTCGCCGTTGTCCTCAGAGGCCTGTCCAGCGTGCCCCCTGAGGAAGTCGATGCAGAGATCCGCACTCAGGGTATAATCCCCTCCCTTATCACCCCCCAAGAAGCAGACGCGAATCGCTATTTACACTTTATAAGGTGTCCTTCCCACACAAATACACTACCTCTTTCATCATAGAGTATACTGGGAAAAGTTTCATTCCCAAAAACCTTATACTCAACGTTACAGGTGCCAAGCCTTCGGGCATGGCTCCTCGAACTGTAATCCCCAGGTGCGTGAAATGTGCCGGACCCCACCTTACTTCCTCCTGCACCAAAACACGTGATTCTCCGGCCAAATGCGCAAACTGCGCAGGAGATCACACGGCCAATTTCTCTAAGTGCTCGGCACTTACAAAATACCTGGAGAAGAGACCCTCCTCCTCCTCCTCCTCCTCCTCCCACCTCAACTAATCTTTTTAATACGAACAGGCCATCGCTCTCCTTCCGAGACGCTGTACTCTCGGGCAAGCCGCAGAGCCAAATGCACACCAGCCCCTTGACTTCTCCTATGTTTTACCAGACCCCACAGTTCACACCGGAACATGCTCTTGTGTGCTCTTGCACATGCCTCTGCCCCTACCTACCTTGCAAATATCATCCAAGATCTCATTCAAATTTGTAAAAACTTCCAGGAGCAATTCTGTGCCTTCACATCAGCCCTGATAAACATTAGTAATGGCCCCCTCCCTTAGATATATGTTATGGAATGCTTGCTCTGTTCCTCGTAAAAAACAGGAATTAATTCATGCCCTACACGTGCGCGAAGTACATGTAGCACTCGTGACCGAAACATGGCTAACACCCAATAACACGTTCTCCATTCCTGGCTACGCCATAGTGCGCTCGGATAATCCCACACCTCGAGGAGGGGCGGCGCTTTTAATTCACAGATCTATCCCCTTCATTGCAGTTCAACCTAACTTTCAATTCAGCTCCAACTGCGTCTTTGCGTAGCTCGTCTATCAATCGCTTTTCCTGGGAGTGGTATACTGCTCTCCCGGTACCAAGCTCACTTAACCAGAACTCGATGCCATCACTGGCATTGGGTACCCTTCCGTCATCGGTGGTGACTTCAATGCGCGTCACACCTCGTGGAACAATCGCTCTAACAACAGAAACGGGAATACCCTTTTCGAACACATCTTACGTCACCCCTATAACATCGTCCACCCTGACCCTATCACCCTAACATCTTCAGTTGTCATACCACTGATGACTTTACCATCCAGCATCGCCCTGTTCTCCTGCAGTCAGAAACCAACACCAGACCGCCGCCCGGCCTAACCTTGGAGGTTGACTGGGAAAAATATGCAACTCTCACGCACAAATACAAAATTTCTTATAAGTTATCTACAACTGGGGATATTGACGCGACTATTAACACTTTCGGACTATTTTTGCATTCCTGTCGCACTAAAGCCACAAGCTATCAATCCTCTAACAACTGTAACCACAGATATAATGATAGCTTACTCATTGCTCTCATTCGCGAGAGGCGAAAATGCCGTAAGATGTGGCAGAAATACGGCCTGATTTTCCACAAATTAACGGAAAACCACCTTTCCAAGCAAATCCGACACCGAATCTTCGGTCTGCGGAGTGCTCACTGGAACAACACTATCAAATCTCTCAACAAAACCGATCCCACCTTCTGGCGTTCCTATAAAATACTGACTAATCGCAAATCAAATATCCCCTCCCTAAATGCATCAGGCGCACCTGCGACTACTGATTCCGATAAATCTAACATTCTAGCTGAATATTTTGCTGCATCCCTGCGCGACTCGCTGGCCCACAACGTAGTGGCACAGTTCATAGAACGACTGGACAATCTACCCTCCGACGAAGTGACAGGGGACAAGGTACTCTCAATTCGACTGCAGGATGTAAAGGATGCTATCACTGGGCTTAAAAACAATAAATCCCCCGGTCACGACCGTGTCTCCTCTCCTATGCTTAAATTCGCCTCAGTCAGAATTTGCCTACAATTGTATCACATCTTCACAGCTGCTGTTAAGCTTTCCTATTTCCCTACCGATTGGAAAATCGCTAGAATTTCCCCTATTCACAAACCCGGTAAACCAAAGAATAGTCCTGATAGTTATCGTCCCATCAGTCTCCTCCCAATTATGGGTAAGGTATTCGAAAAGTGCCTTCGCACGTTCCTATCGGATTTACTCCAGTCCAATGATATACTTATCAACCAGCAGTTCGGTTTTAGAGCTGGCTGCTCCACCACGCATCAACTGATCCGAGTCTCGCAACTAATTGCTCATGAACTAAACGTGAAGAGAACCCCGGCTCTCGTCTTACTTGATCTTTCTCGGGCTTTTGACTCCGTGTGGCACGACGCCTTTATCTTCAAACTCGCTAAGGCCGGACTCCCCCCAGACTTCCTCCTTCCTCCTCACCAACAGATTCCTATATGTATCAATCAACGGCTCCCACTCATTGCGTCACCCTGTCATGGCGGGGGTGCCCCAGGGCTCTGTACTTGGACCCACACTTTTCAATATTTATATCAATAACATCCCCTGTCCACCCTTCTGCCAGCTGGCACTCTACGTTGATGACACTGTCATCTTCTCCTCCTCGTAGTCATTCTCCGTATTAGTGAGGAGACTACAATACAGCCTTACCTCCATTTCGGATTATTTTCATCGTTAGAAGCTCACGCTAAATGCATCCAAAACCCAAGCAATCTACTTTGCCAGAAGAAGGCATCCACAGGACGCTCTCACACTCAGTCTCGCGGGTGAGGTTATCCCTTGGTCCTCCCAAATTCGCTACCTCGGCGTCATACTAGATAACAAATTCTCGTTGACCCCAGCTGTTCTTGATAGAATTCAAAAAACCAGAGCTGCTGCCGCCGCCCTTCATACCGTTATCAACCCCCTTGGCTCGTCATCTAAGACTATCTTTGTATCAAGTTTGTCTCAGAACAATACTCATTTATGGATCCCATGTCTGGATAAACACCAGTCAACAAAACCACAAAAAATTACAAGTCACCCAAAACCGCATCCTGAAAATAATCACTGGTCGCTCCCCTCGCTACTCTACAAAGATGCTTCATGATGAAACAAATATTCAGCCCATCATCTCTTATATCCGAAATGGCATTGCTCACTTCCCCGCACCGATCACTTCCTCTTGCCACAGGGAGAGGTTGATATGTTTATGAATTTATTATTTTGTTGCTCCTGTAGCTTCCCGTGGACCGCAATTCTTTCGAAGAATTTCGCGAGGCCGTAAATCCCTCTTACACTCTAGGTGGTGTATTGTATTGTGTGTGGGTTGGGTGTCACAAGCGCGTGTTGGAGAATGACCCGCGGAGTCGTCCTGACGACGGAGCATCGGATATGGAGAGGAGAGGTTCGCGAGGTTTTTGTTTCTTCGATGCGTTCGCTCAAGGAGGTTTATTGCGGGCCGATGTGAGTTTGATACCCTGGTCTGGCGGTCGGATTTGATTAATGAATTTTATGATGATAAAATACCAACCTTTCCCTGTGGCAAGAGGAAGTGATCTGTGCGGGGAAGTGAGCTCACCGATGAGCGTTAATACAGACACAAGAAACATCGGCATCGACAACAATAAATGTCGAACGCCGAAAGAAGACGTCGAGAACGCCGAGAAGTCTTTTGTTTTTTTCCACACTTTCCCCGCGGACCGCGCGACGTTTGGCGAGGAACGATCATGTGAGTTCATCGACACGGTCGGAAAATCAGATGTTTCGGATAGGTCAGGATCGACACACTGACCCAGTTCGGTCGAAGCAGATTAATTCGTGGACGAATGGGTAAGTTTTTCAGAAGTAATAAAACACTTTATTGCTTTCGGATAACGAATAAAAGTACCGAACACAGTTATTAAACGACTTACTTGTTATTCATGAAAAAGAAAAAAAATACGTTTTGGAAATCGATGTCAATTATAAAATTTCATCGAAATATGTTGATGGAGAAACAAGCAACAGGCATCGAAAGATGTAAGAATCTGCAGATTTATTACAGTTTTAGGCCGAAAGTCGTGATAGTGCGGTTTGTAGCTCATAGAAATATTAACCGATTTCGATGAAATTTTCACCCTGTGCATAATTGACGTTGATCTACAAAACATATGTTTTAGATATTCATTTCGAGCTCAGATAAAAAAGTTGTAAAAACGACCTTCGCTATTTTCTTCGCGATCCAAACTAATTGCAGTTTTTTCAAAAATTTATACAAACGTCGGAATGACGGCGAAAAACCATTTCTCTAAGCCTTATAAAAACAGCAGTGCAAAGTGAAATTTTTTTGACAGCTATCGAGAACCGAGAAGTCACGCGTACGTATTTGTTCGATCGCGCGCGGTTGAGCCTCTGTTCTCCGTCCCTGAGCGCGGGCTCTACGCGCGCTGTAATTGGCCAGTGTTTTTCGTTAATAATTCGAAAACGAAGCTTCAAACTACATTTTGGAAAAGGAAAAAGTTGTTCAGAGTCACCCCAGCTACCCGCCATTTCCGGATGTTCGAGGAGTTACGGGACACCCTGTATAAATACAACGCTGTAGATGTTTTGGAGAACTGTAAACAAACTGTCGCGTGTTTGTTACGAGTCAATGTCATCCAGGGTTGGCTGGGCGAGGGTTAACGGATAATTTTCGTCATTTCCAATCTAAGAAATAGTTACACAGTACTGACGTAAAAGTTTTTGAAATAATAAAAATTGATATAATTTAAATAATTACAAACATGAGTGATTCACGAGCTGGCAAAAAAGAAAAGTGTCAGCAAATACAAGTATTTGTCCGTGTTAGGTAAGTAAATGATTTTTTCACGAATTAACATAATTTTAAATATATCTTATTTATTATAAAACTGTAATTATGAAATTATAAGTCAAAAGATTTAAAATGTATTATTCTATTTATCAAAATGCTATAATAAATTAGAAATGACAATATTTTGACACATAAGTTATGTTTATTGTGATAACATTAGTTTATATTTTTAATTTGCATTTATAATTTGTACTTCTGTATACTTTATATCATAGTGAAATGTCAGTGGACTATATAAATTACAGAAGTAATAGATGTTGAAGTATAAAGAAATTTCAAACATTAATAATTATTTATCTTGTTATTATGTTAAGTTATAAATCATATTCTTATCATAAAGGAGATAATAAAGTGGAAAAAACAGATATTAACATTCAGAAATGTTTGTCGCTTCTACTATGTTTAGGTTGAAGGAATGTTGTTATTATTATAAAATAACGAGACGTGAGTAGGATTGCGCTAAGTACCCTCACGGTAGTAGCACGATCTTTTTTGAAATGGACTGTCGGCGTTGGAGGTCCGTGCCTGACTGGCCTCCTCCCGCCGCGCTAGTTCTTACTAACTTTTAGCTATCTGTTAATCGTCCTGATTGGTTAACCCGTCGCATCGGTGTTAACCAATCAGGTAATTTCTCTCCAAGTCGCTGCGTGTCCCTTGCGCCCTTGGCGCGCTTTTTCGGGGACCGCAGTGCGACTTGGCGGGAGAGGTTTTTCCCATGACGTCACTTGGCGGGCAGCTGAGTTTCCTCCAGGTCAAGTACTCGTGACCTGCCGGTCCGGGCCTCTGGGCCTCGTACGGCGTACCTTTCGGAAACCCTTGGTTTATGATGGGGCAATTTCCTATTGCGGCCGTCGGAGAAACTTTCTACGCGGACATGCATTGTCGAATTTTTAGAAATTAAATAAGCTAAAAACGGTTTCCTCAAAAATAGCCTTTCAAGCGCGCACGTCATAAACCGTGCTGGTAGTCTGCTCGCCAAATGTTTTCCGCTGTAGCTGGTCCCTACAAGTTGAATGTTCTTTTATGTAAAAGGAATTATTATGGTATTACTAGTAGTTTTAATTTTTATTGTTTGTTATTATTTAATATTTTCTTTTATAAGACCTATAAGTAATCTTGAGAGAAATAATAAGTCTGCAACCGTAGTGGAAGTTCTTAATAATAAGGAAGTAATAGTGCACAAGCGTCCTTATGATAAATTATCGAAAAAATATAAATTTGATAATGTATTTGAACCTTCTTCCAAACAGGTATATTTATTTCTACAATTAGAACAGGTAGTTTAATGTAAATAATATTTAGTTATATTACTTTCAATTAACAGATTGAAGTATATAATATTGTTGTTAATCCATTGTTGGATGAAGTTTTGGCTGGATGTAGTTGTACAGTATTTGCATATGAACAAACTGGTACAGGAAAAACATTCACAATGGAAGGAATTAACAGTGATTCAACTTTGTATTGGCAAAGTGTAAGTGATAATTCTTTTCTATAACATTATTTACATAATATGTGCTCTAATATGTTGTCAATAACATTCCTTATACTTGTATGTGTATTAGGTATTTGAAAACAAAAATTTACTCACTATGAGTGTTTATAATGCTCGTTACATTTTTTAAAAAAGCTTAGCAAACATATTTTTTAAAATTGTAGTAAGAAAAGATACTACAATATTAAAATATAACATATAACAATATTACATGTAATTGTATAATTATAGGATTCATCTGCTGGTATAATACCAAGGTCTTTAAGTCATATGTTTGACAAATTGCAATTATTGGAAGCACAAGAATACACAATTAGAGTTAGTTTTCTAGAACTTTATAATGGAGATTTATTTGATCTTTTATCACCTAATGACGATGCAACTAAAATAAGGTACATATTACAAAGTATTTAAACTACATATAATTTTGAATTATTTAGTTATATTGTGATGCATTTTTTAATTCTATATTAAATACCCATTGAATAGATTGTATGAAGATACATCAAAGAAAGGTGCAGTAATCATTCATGGGTTAAATGAAGTAACAGTACACAATAAAAGTGAAGTGTACAAAATTCTTGAAAAGGGATCAGAAAAGAGACAAACTGCTGCAACATTGATGAACGCTCAATCTAGGTCATTACCTTTATTTTTTATTACTATTGAAATCTAATTTCACTTAGAAGTTGTATATTTCTGTGATTTTTAATATATTTTTATTAATATCAATATATAAAGTTTAATAAAATGATTATAGCCGGTCTCGTATAGTATTTTCAATTACTATACATATGAAAGAAAATACTACTGATGAAGAAAAAGTTCTGAAAACAGGAAAATTAAATCTAGTGGTCCTAGCAGGTAGTGAAAATATTGGAAGATCTGGCTCTGTTGACAAAAGAGCAAGAGAAGCTGGTAGTATTAATCAATCTTTGTTAACACTTGGCAGAGTTATAACAGCTCTTGTTGAAAGGGCACCTCATATACCTTATCGGTAACAAAAACAGATATTCTATTTCTTTACAATATGAAGGCTAATATAAGTTGTTGCATTTTTATATCTTATATTGCACAGGGAATCAAAACTTACAAGATTACTACAAGAATCATTAGGTGGACGAACGAAAACATCATTAATTGCAACTATATCTGCTGCTAGTATTAACCTTGAAGAAACACTGTCAACATTAGATTACGCACATCGTGCAAAAAATATTACTAATCGCCCCGAAATAAATCAGAAACTTTCGAAAAAAAAAATGTCTTAAACAGTATACAGAAGAAATTGAAAGACTACGGAGAGACTTATTGGCAACGCGTGAAAGGGACGGTGTTTATCTTGCAAATGACAATTATCAAGAAATGCAAGCATTAATTTCTCAACAGACTAAGGAGATAGAAGAGAAACTTAATCGTATAAAAGCACTTGAAAAAACTATGCAAGACAAAGAAGTAATTTACTTCTTAATACGAATTTTATTAATTATTTGTTATTGAATCTATATTTGGTTTTGTTATGTAGCTTTTTCTCTTTTCAGAAAATATATAACGAACTTGAATTACAAAATATAACTCAAATGAAAGAGTTACATGAAGCCAAAGTCAAATTAAATAGTGCTTCTAACGCTCTTAAATCGACAAATGATCGATTAAAACTGATAGCACAAGAACGGAATGAGCAAAAATATTTAGTAGAAAAGTCTACAAATACAGAACAGTGTCTATTGCACCAAGCCCAAACTTTACTAAGCGTCGCAGATACGGCAACAGCAGATTCCCATAAGTTACATGATAAAATTGCTCGTAAGAGGTTCGTCTATTACTGCTAACGGTAAAGTTAATTATTCTTCGATGATTTGATTCTATTCTTCTATTATACTTAAAGTCCAAAAATTTATTAGTAATTCTATAAACAATACCGTATCTTCTTCTCTTCCAAAATAAGTAAAATGCACCTTTCTATTCTCATTTTATAATTTTTTCATTGTGTTCAACATGTAGTCACAGTACTTTCCCTTTTTTACCGGAAATAATGTACGATTAACACAATTTTTGCATTTGTTTGAAAAGGTTCTAAATAATAAAGGTTCTAAATAATGGAGTTACGCAATCTCTTGCGTAAATAATTATTGAACATCTCATTTCTATTGTCATATATTGTAAAACAAGAGAAAGAATTATTATTTAAAAATTTGTACTTAAATTTCTTTTAACTTTGACATCTTATAAAGAATATGCAAAATAAGGAAATGCTTCGTAAAATGTAAAACTTGTGTCGTAAATTTAAAAAAGAATCTTTTGTTGTAAAAGAAATTACGTGTTAGAACTACGTATTCCTAGTACTTTCGCTTTTGGTTTTTGCAGTCTTGATTGTTTTATATTTTTTACTTTTTTAGATGTAAGGGTACAGTCGTTATTTCTCCTGGTTTTCATCCTGTAATATGAATTTTATATCAATAGTGAATTACATATCGCATAGCAATTATATTATCAATATTATTCAAAAGTAACCAATAAAATAAAATATAAACAGCCAAGTTTTACCTCCATGTAAATTTCTGATTCAGATTGAACATGGGATTGCACAGATATTGAAGAAATATCTAATGTTTGTGTAATATTTTCAGCATGAGAATCAATAGAGTTACACGAATTTGTGCGTTCTGGTAAAGAATTATTATTTAAGACAGATGCAGAAAATGTGTTATCCAGTGGAGATAGAAGTGTACTATCAGACAAAGCAATTGAATTTGCAATTTCTTTTATTGTTATATCATTATTCGTGTACGTATCATCCTATATATGTTCGTCATATAGAAAGAAAAATAACATATTTACAATATATGAGAAAATTTTAAAAGCAAATAAAATATACTTTATGATATGCATGTTACTTACATCATTTTCTGTTGTCTCGACACATTTTCTACTTTCTTTAAACCTTTGAAGGATTCGTTCATGCGGCGACGTTTCTACAAAATGGCGAGGATAAGAAAATTCTTTCCTCGCAGGAGTTGACCCTAAAAAAAAGTTAATAAAAAAAATTATGGAACTGTTTCTTTTTTATTAAC